TACATTTATTGTTGTGAGTTCTATGATAAATCAATAAATTTGATATTGAAACAAAAACACAATGCATCTTCTCGTTTGTTGTTCCTACAACTGAAACCATAACATGTTATGTTGATTTTATGGTTTAGATTTTGTAATTTGAAATATATCAGTATGATGTTTCTCTAGGATTTTATGGTTTATTATTTTATATATTTGTAAGATAATTATGTACATCTATCTATTTGGTATATCCTATTCAATCATATAGCATTTATAACTAATAAATTTAATGTATTGAGACTTTTTAAATCATTTTTTGTTATTTTAAACACAATAAGTTGGATGCAGAATGAATCCGAATCCAACTTGAATCCAGCATACCAGATTTCAGATCGAATGCTTAGGAGAATCCAATCCGTTTATAGCCATGCATGGGTGTTTATCTCTTGTAAAGACCCCCCTAGACTTTTACGTTGCGATAAATACCTCTCGGCCATTAAGTCAAATGATAGAACTAGTAAATTACTAAAATGCTCCATTAAACTTTTTCTATTTTCTTTTTCTTGCCATTTTTTCTGAAAACCTAACTGACCTTAAAAAAATTGACCCAAAAAATACCTTCATTGCTTCTATTGGAAAAATATTTTTGTCATGTCACTGAAGATCCTTGCCAGAAAAGAAAAAAGATCTCTGGTAAGTTGATTAAGAAGGGACACTCACCGTTGAAAAAGTGCTGAAGAAAATTCTTGTCCAAAACCAATAATAAAGATAATACAAATTAAAGAAACGGAAAGAAAGTAAAGGCACCATTTTTAGTGTTAAACCAGATAGAAATCAATAACAGTAGTAGTAGTAGTAATTGATAAACATTAACATTTTCTGGCCAAACCAGTATCCTATTTTTTATGGAAAATTCCTGATCAGTACCATACTTTGGTTCAAGTGATAATTTGGTCCCCAAACTTTAAAAGAAGATAATCCAGTACCTGAACTTTCAAAATGTGACAATCTAGTACCTACTGTTAATCAGGCGTTAAGTGACATTTGAAAAGTCAAAAATGCCCTAAGAATGCCATCTAATTCTCTTTATCAGCCATCCAAACATTGACAATAAAATGAACAGTCCCAATTTCTAGATTTTTCTAAATAGTCACAAACTTTTTTGAATAGAAGATGCTAAGATTTGGGACTGTTCAGTTTTTGTCAATGTTTAGATGGTTGATAAAGAGAATTAGATGGCATTTGAAGGGCATTTTTGACTTTTCAAATGTCACTTAATGGCTAATTAACAAACTGGTTAACGGTAGGTACTAGATTGTCACATTTTGAAAGTTCGGGTACTGGATTGTCACATTTTAAAGTTTGGGGACCAAATTATCACTCGTACCAAAGTACAAGTTATTAATCAAGGATTTCCCTAAATGATGGTGGTTGCTGCGTCGTGAAGATTTAATAATAACCCAATTGGATTTGTTGGATTTTGCAGGCCCCCTTCAAAAGAGGAGTCTGGATCTCCTGCCCACACAAACTCTGCCCATGTTTTATCGCAACCACACATGTAGAACATCTCACCCTCTATATAGTATTATGTGGGGGGAGATGTTCCCAATTCACGGGGGGTAGTATGTTGTAAGTAGACATGGGCAGGGTTTTGGTGGGCAGATCTGGACTCTCAAAAGAGAGGGAAAAAAATACAAATAAAAGGAAAAGAAGAGAGAGAGAGAGCCAGGCCACCCCACACTCACCGGAGAGTGGAGAGAATAGTTTGGAGTTTGGGTTTTGGAAAAAAGTTGAGACTTAAAAGAGAGGAGAGGACAAGGAGTTAATTATGTTTTAGCTGAGGTTTTGGCTTTTCCTTTACAGTTGCTTTACTTTAAAACAATTTAACTCTAAAGCGTAAAAGAGAGATTAATCGAATAAGGGTAATCGTGGCATTTTAAAATATTTTAAATGATGTCCTAACGATTAATTAGATGTAATTTTGTAATTTTATATGTTTACCGTTTGGGTTAACGGCAGAAGGGAGAAGGGGGGTTTTTATTGAATTCTTTAAAAATTTAGGGGAAGTTTATGCTAAAATAAAATTAAAGGAGAAGTTTTTATGATTGTCAGAAATTTAAAAGGAGGATTTTGTATTTTACCTTTTATTTAATTAATAAAACCCGTGCATTGTACTGGTCTCGACTAATACAATATAAATTATTATAGGGCAAATTTTATTATTTATATATTGTCTTAAAGTACGTTTACTATTTTTGACAATTGACGTGTCACGGCTAAGTATTAATAGAATAAAACAGAATGTTGAATTTATCCTCCACTTTTCTTCAAACTTTAAAAATAAAATCGAGTTGTTACAAAATTTGAAAAAGATGATGAATCCAATCAATTTAAGGGACCGTGATACCAATTCTTTTTTCTGCCACATTTCCCCTCACTTCTTCTGTATGCCGATCATATCGGTCTACATCATAGGGTTTTTGAACAAAGATCTCTCCTAGCAAACCGAATAATCGTTTGTCAATGGAATCTGCGTTGGAGCGTTTGTATCACATCTTGTTGCCAGAGATCTCTAAAGTCAAAGCTCTCCACATCAACCACACCCCATCCAAGGAGATTCAAGAGATCGTCCATGTTGTTACTCTCTATCATACTTTTAGCTGTAATGGATGTAAATATGAATTTCAATAAAGCATATGTTTTTTTTTATTTTTTAATCAAAAGCCCACTTGAATGCAAATGTACTTTTTTATTGATGTATTTTTACATCTTATTATCAATGTAAATTTGCATTGGTTTGTCATTTGTCAATGCATAAATATAATACTATCAAACATAGGCAAAAGTGAATCAGAGTACAAATTTACCTTGAACTGGAATTTATACTTCATTTGCATCATTTCCAAACATAGCCAAAGGTAAGCATCATGTGTACCTAAAGCCAACGCTTTTGAACCGTCGTTGGCTCAGACAGTCGGACCGTTCAGCCCGAGAACCGTCTAAGCAACCACTTTCGTTTTACCCAAAACCTAGAATTTGGTAAAAAACCTTTGAAAATGTCAACAAACCATTGACTCAGACAGTTGAACCATCGACCTGTTCAACGATTTTGATCATTTTTTTACTTTTTAATTATTTTTAATTTTATTGTCAGAACGAGCCATTCATTCGAACTGGACAATCAAACTATTGACCCAAAAACCGGTGCCTAAAACCAATATTTAGCATTCCCTTTGCCAACCCATTTGTTGTTTGTCATCAGATGCCTTGTCTAATTAATTGATGAAATTTGAGTGGTGGGATTGATTAATTTAGGTGTTAGATATTTGAATGAATTCTGCCGAAAGCCCCAGTTCGTCTTTCTCTCCTCTGCTGCCTCCCCCATCCTCTCCCTCGTTCAATTGAACACACTACTATCATGGAGTTCAACTCTGATCTCTCTCTTGAGTACTTGCTGCTGGAGGAAGAGAAATGGGTGGACAAGATTTGTTTGGAGGGGAAATACTACTTCGAAGGATATTGGTTGGAGATCGTTGGGAATCTGAACAACATAACCGACAACTACTTAGGAATGGAGAAATGGAGAAAGAGATACGATGGTTGAGAAGGTGACATGCTGTGAAGGTGATGGAGCACTATGCATTGGTGGGGAAATTGTTTCTAGGGCTGTTCATAAGAAGGCCCAATCCAATTAAACCGATCAATCCGGACCGACCCAACCTGAGTTGGCCGGGTTTTCATCGACACCGGTCGGTTTTGGGTTGTACAAATTCATAAACCGATGGTTCGAGTCGATTTCGGTTTTCTTGTATGAAAACCGAAACAGCCTGAACCGAACTGACTTAGTTCCTACTTAACTAAAAATTGAAGTATTTGAAAATATATATTCCAATATCTATATCTAAAAATATATATATATATATTATGAAATATGTCAAATATATATTTTCAGAAAATATATATTCCAATATATTTGTGTATATATATATATATTTCTAAAATACATATTTCAGTTTTAAATATATTTCCAGAAAACTAGGTGGCCATGGGGGGCATGGATGAACTTAGAGCCAAAACTGACCCAACAACCCAACTCAAACTGACCAGGTAAGTTTTGCTTAACACTGGGCCAGTTTTAGTTTCCATCTCAAGTAACCCGACCAGGTCGGGTCGGTTGGAAAAACCTCAATAAACCAACCCAACCCGACCCGTGAACAACCCTAATTGTTTCTGAAGGATGCTGGGAACAGGAGGGGAAAGTCGGAGACGGATCTAAAAGCAAAAAGGGAGTCGTTCTGATTTTCAGCCGGAGGAGGAGAGTCCATCAAATCCATCAAAGTGGTTGTTTTCCGGGAAGAGCTTGTTCGATGAGGAATACGCCCGTGTTCAAGCTCGTCCAACTTCGTTTGTCGTAGATCAAATCTGTCCACCCGTGGACCACCATGTTGTGCTCCTTGTGTCTCTCCAATGGTAGCTTGAACTCCATGTCCGTGAACACCTAAAAGGGGTCTCCGAACAAAGTATATGCCACATTGAAGGCTTTAGGGGAATAGCTGATGGAGGAATGACTCTTATTTGAAAGTCTTATTCTCTGAATTGGAACTCTCACTGATCGATTCAGACCTTCTTTTTCTGCCTCTTTTTATACGAGAGGATAAGTTAATTCGTCACTCTTCTTATTCGGAACTCTCTCGGTGGAACTCACCTTGTTTAAATCGAAAAATCAACCAAATGCGACCCAAGAAGTCATTTGACTGATTAATATAGAGATGAAGGACAATCATTCGAATTCTGAATAGAGGTAAAAGGGTAAAAGAGTATTCTAGAATTTTTCGAAAAAATATCAATCTATGTGATGAAAAATTAACGATTAGAGAAATTTTAGATAATTATAAAAAACAGTAGGGATATTTAAGACAATATATACAGTAAGAGTAGAATTACTTTATATTTCGATTTTTACCCCAAACAAAGCACGGGCCGTCCCGGCCCATAAGATGAAACGAAAAGAATCCCGAAGTTTCTACTTTCTACACTGTTTCTATACTTTACGCGAAGTTTCGGGCCGACTTTACTTCCTTTCACTTTCTTTGGTTAAATCACTGCAGAAGCTTCTGGAACTCCAATTGAATCTTTCCCCTTACTAATGCGGTAATGCCAGCGTCGCATCCCGGGGCGCAAACGGATTGGCTGAACTGGAAGTTGATAGCTGTTCCACGGGCGTTGGATCAATTGTACAGACAATTGCAGAGTAGCAAAATGGCCGACGACGGTGTCGTTGCGGTGTACAACAACAGCGCCATCACCGATGCCAAGAAAAAAAATCCATTCTCCATCAAAGTTGGACTCGCCCAAATGCTCAGAGGAGGCGTCATCCTTGAAGTCACCAATGTAGAACAAGCTAAGATTGCCGAAGAAGCAGGGGCGTGCGCCATTGTCGTGATTGAGCAGCTGCAGAGAGGTGTTCGACGCATGGCCGATCCGTCTCTTATTAAGGAGATCAAGCGAGTGATTTCAATTCCTGTAATGGCGAAAGCCCGAGTTGGGCATTTCGTCGAGGCCCAGATTCTTGAAACGATTGGTGTCGACTACATTGACGAGAGCGAGGTCCTTACCCCCGCCGATGATGAGAACCACATCAATAAGCATAATTTCCGGGTGCCGTTTGTCTGCGGGAGCCGCAGCCTTGGAGTAGCTTTGCAGAGGGTTAGAGAAGGGGCGGCAATGGTAAGCACGGAGGGAGATGCATCTGAATCGGGGAACATTGTGGAGACTGTTCGGAATGTGAGGTCGGTAATGGGGGAAATTAGAATCCTTAATAACATGGACGATGATGAGGTATTCTCGTTTGCTAACAAGATCTCCGCTCCTTACGACCTTGTCGCCCAGACCAAACAACTTGGCAGGCTCCCGGTGGTGCACTTTGCAGCCGGCGGCATTATTACCCCTGCGGACGCTGCCCTCATGATGCAATTGGGATGCGATGGAGTGTTTGTGGGCTCTGAGGTTTTCAACACCCCTGATCCTTACAAGCGTGCTAGGGCCATTATTCGGGCTGTGTCACACTACAACGATCCTCACGTGTTGGCGGAGATAAGCTGTGGTTTGGCTGACGCCTTGGCGGGTCTCAGTCTCAGTGAGGACAGGATCGAACGCTTTGGAGCTCGAGGCATTTACTGAAGCTTGTAGCTGGAAAATGGAACCTGGAGGTACTCTGGTGCATTTTGTTCTTCCGGAAAATTGGTGGGTCTATTAGGCTATACTATTTGGAATTTTGGAGTTTGGGCTTAGAGCCATTCCTGCTCTGTGCTAGTTTTGTTATGTCATTGGTTTAAAGGTTAAGAGTCTAATCCTTCTCTGAACTGTTGTAGTATTCTCTGTAATTTGCTTATATTGCTAATGAATTGAAAGAAGCCCAATATTCGTATATCATACTACAGAGTACAGACATCTTATATATTGTTCAATACCGATCAAATATTACAATACCTGGCAAAGAGATAAAATTATGGGTTATCTCTAAGCCGCAAGCTTGAGTAATCCAAGAGTTTCTTCTATTCAATGATCTCAATATTTTACATACATTCTTGTTTAAAAGTTAAAAACAATAGGAATGTTTGTATATTCATTATAATCTATTACTTCCAATATTTAATAGAACAGACTCGGGTTTCTTCCACAGCTTCACAGACTGTTCTCTTCTGTCTGAACGCTTGCATGGTTGTTGTTGCTATAGATGCAACGCAGAGATAGTTCATAGGCAGAAAAGATTGCTCCATTCACCACGAAGGCCCGTGTGACAGCAGTCCCCAGTCCCCGCCACAGCACACGATATCCCTCTTCTTGGACACTTTTCTGGAAACAATCAATGATGCCACGGTATTTAGGTGGAGAACGATCCCACTGGGATTGGGTTTGAGCCTGGAGTCTGGTCTTCACCACATCAAAGGGATAGCAACAAACCCAACTGGCAACACCCGCCAGCCCTCCTGCAACCAGCATGGTTCTGAGGCTCTCCTGGCCGCTCTTTCGGCAGCCTGGGTGAAGATGTTCCCTTGCGTACTCATACGTCCAGAAGTAGAAGCCATGAGCGGGTGCATCTCGTAGCGCAGTGATGGTCAGGCCTCGGTATATCCCCCTCACCCCTTCTCGTCTCAAGATGCCTTTAGCTACACTTAGTGGACTCGGCTGATGATTTGGAAGCTGGTGCGATCGCGCATTTGTACTCAATTGGAGTCGTATTTTAACAAGCTCAACGGGGCTGAGCAGCAAAGTCTGCAAAGCGCCTGTGCCAAATCCTGCCAGTGCAACGCTTTTGTATGAAGGGGGTTCAGTGCCGTCGGTTGATGAATCAAATGCTCGTGATAAGACCGCATAGACTTGAAAGACAATGGCATTCTGCAACAATTTTGAAGTATCAGTATACCTGTGACTTATCATGAGCATTCTGTGACTTAACTCTGTAACTTATGACTTATCATCAGCTGCAACTATTAGCAATTCCAAACAGAACAGATCACTGGAAACCCAGTTACAGATCATTTTAAGATAATGATTAAAGCCAAAATCTGTGGGTTTTCTACCTACTTCAATCGATGTAAAGTTTTGCCTTCTTCAGCACTGATACGTGGAGATGCAGTAATTTCACCTGTACAACTCTCATCTGATAGTGTCAAGAATTGGCATCCAGAAACCAACCAAACACTCCTACAAGAATTATGATTTATGAGAGAGAGGGAGAGAGAGAAAGAGTATGGATCTTTACTTTTTCCCAGCAACCAGGTCCATCTAAAAAGCTCAAGAAGGATCACTGAGAAACAGCGCCTGTTAGGAATATCCCATGTGTACAAATCCTGCATATGCAAAACAGCTTATCGAGTTTCTTCTCATTAAATATAATTATTTCACCATGCCTTCATTTTTTCAAACAAAAGGGTGTCTGCCTCTGTTACGACTTCTCCTGGAGCCCTTCTCCTAATGACATCAATCAGCATATGTGGGAGTCGTCCGAGTATTTATGTTTCTGTTTTATCTTTTCTTTGCGTGTGGGGATAGTCAAACCTTTATGATTACTGTTATTATTTTTTGTTAGGTTGTGATTTGTGAATCACAATCAGAGCAGCCTTGCCAAACAAACTAGCCACTGCGGAGGCTCTGTTAATGTTGGGTAGGGTACCAAAGCAAGATCCTGGCTTCTGAGGCTGAAGCCAGAGTTGATGCCTTGATGGTCCCAGATTCCTGGGAAGGAGAAAGGGGAAGGTAGGATCTGAGACCGAAATTGTGATTAGCTTTTTCTACAAACTATATCAAATTTGCACTAGAAAATTGATCAAATGAGCTATAAGAATTAGACAACAAGGATTATATCCATGGATGTTAAGATCTCATCCAGTTTCCTTGTTAATAAATCCCAAGTTCCCAGTTCCCAGCCCACTCTAAAAGCAAACAATATAATAAGAAAATGACTAAACCAGTAATAAGAAGCTTAACTAGGAGAGGATGACGACGACAAACCTGGAAGGCAACGGAGGCTACAGGTGCACCCATGCCTCTGTACAGGGCGGAAGGTCCTTCAGAAGCGACGATATGGCGGAGGAGGCCGAAGGCGGATCTAGTGTTGGAAGGCTGTTGGAGACGTATCCTCAGCGTGTCCAGCGGGTAACCAGACACAACACCCGCCATGCCCCCGAAACCCCCCGCCACGAATTCCTTGCCCCAGCTGCTTGCGAGAAACTCTGGCCAGAAGTCCATTGTCTTCTACTCCCATTCCACAAACAAAACCACCTGGTTTTCCTTTTATCCTCACTGAACCAGCGCCACTAGTCTCTCCTCTTCTTCCCCTACTCTCTTTGTATTGCTTTGATCGATGACCTTAAATACAGTATCGAGCAAACCCAAAAAGGTTTCTTCTGTAAGTCGGATTCTCTCTGCTTTTAGAAAGATGTATCGAGTATCAACTCTTTGAATATTCTTAATTAAAGTAGAGAGACGATAAATTTGTGATCTACTCTGGCATGTAGAAGAGAGGAGAGGGAGAGTTATTTGGGTAAAAGAGAAACCAATGATCAAACGTTTGCGTTTGAGAATAACCAGAGAAAAGATGTTTATATTGTTGATTGTTTCCTCTTTCTTTCATCATCCGAAACCAAAGCCGCCGGTGCGAGACTGACTGGGGACCGGTCCGTGAGGAAACGGCCAACTCTCCTTCCCGATATAAAGCACAACACGTGGATCCTGAAACTCCCGCGGCCAGGTGCTCATGTACCTACTGAAGTGCCAACCAACTCTGATCCCAATTTCAGACAATAATGCGTCTCCACTAATTGTAAGGCTATACAAAGTCAACTGACAACCGTTGGATCCGAATCTCCAATGCCTAGATCATTGAGGATTGACAACTGTGGGGTTCCAGATCCGACGATTGACAACTTGTGTTACGTCACCAAATGCTGTCTGAATCAGAAATCAGTCTCGCCTTTGCTTTTTAAGCAATGATAAATATACAATTTTATTTTTTATTTTTTATTTCTTATTTTGCTTGTATGCCTTACAAATCATCTTACACCACACATCGTAGGTGGGCCTCACCGAAATACAGTAATGGATGGGGCCCATGATAATGCTGCATATGATATTTTTACTTTTTTGGGCCGTCCGTAAGCGGAATGACGTGAGTCATGGACGAAATACAGCAGAAAAGCAAGGGAATCTTTCGCAAAAAGATGAATGCTTGAACATTGATGAAAGGGGAGAGAGAGAGAGATTCAGGGGGTATGCACATTGAATGGGCCTTTGAGATATAAGCTGCAGGCCTGCAGCCAATGAGCCGGGATCGGTCCCCAGTCCACATCTCTGCAGCTCTGCTGCACATTAACTCCAGACATCACTTAACAGTGTCTTCTATGTTGGGTGAATTGTCCGATTGGAGAAACAAGATGCTACTGAAGCAGAGGAAGGTGGAGGGGAGCAGAAAAGATGGGCCCCATGGAGGCCCAGAATTGAGGGAAAATTCAAAGTTCTAGTCTGCATGGTGGTCCGACCGACTAATGACGCAGGTTAAGATTTGACGATACCTATTCGGCTATTTATTAGTAACAAGTAACAACAAGTCTAACAGATGGAGATGAAATCTGCTACTCACACAAGGCGCCTTACATCGACCTCACAGGTACCTCCCACCGTGCATTGGAAATATCTAATAAGACATAAATACGAAAAATATTGTAATGGGATGTGCCTGTGAAGTCCATGTGAGGCGCCATATGTGAAGAGCAGATATGGTCTCTAACAGATGGGTGGGTCGTGAGTGGGCTTACTTATCCAATAAGGCGATAATCCACATTTCTTGTGTGACTGACTTGGCAATTAATAAGACCAGAAGATTACGTGATCCACATTTCCACTTCCACTCAAACTTTTGTATGACAAAGGCTTCTTTCTTAGAGGAGTCGGTGGGTCTAAGTATCTAACCATTTTCTTCAGCTCTAGAGACTAATGTAATATGCTTGTGGTGGTTATATAATTGATCAACATACAAGGATGGTTAGTGATGATAAGATATATATATATATATATATATATATTGTTCTTTTATATATTCTCTATATTCTATTTTAATATTATGTATATAGTGGCTTTTATTATTTATATATTATAATATATAATCGGGAAAATCTGGCCTTGGCCCATGTCCAGCCCAGATGCCATGTTGATGGGAAAAATTTTGGCTGTTTAAGAGCTCTATGACATGTTACGCCATTTAGTTCCTTGTTTGCCTATTTGGATAAAAACAATATTAGTTGCAAATACTCTTTTACCCCCACGGTAACGTGTCAGGCACAAGAAGCTCCCAAACAGCCCACACTATTTTTTCCAAACAACCAGAGGTTCTCCCTTTTTGAGAGTTCACATCTCCGCCCATAAGGGGCTGCCCCGCAATGCCTCACAACACATCCCCACTATGTATTGGGAACATCTCCTGATGATGTCGGACTGGTATTATCATCGGGATATGTTCTCAATAAACGGCGGGGATGTGTTGTGGGGCGGCCCCTTGGGGCAGAGATGTGATCACCCATGGAGATGTCACTTCATCTAATTTAAGGTGGGGCCATAAAACATTATATTGAGGGTTTTGATTTTGTGGTTTTAGTGCAGCACTAAAAGTCTAAAAACCTTGGTAGCAAAAGTAGTTTGGATAGAACTTAGCCCTCCATTACAATTTTTTATAAGGGCACTTGAGTCTGGATTAGTTGCACTTGTTGGGAGATCACATCTGCACCCCACAGAGGACACCCCATAAAATGCCTCACATGCACATCTAAGAGTGCACTGGGAACATCTTCTAAAGTTGTGGAGATGTTTCCATTACATGGTTGAGATATGCTGTGTGGCGTTTGTAGGGCGCAGATGTGAATTTACTTGATGGCATTCTTATGTGCTGTTTAAGTAATAATGATACCCCACATCAGCCATGCACATGAAATGAGAGATTAGAATAATTGTGAGGCTGATTTGCTCCTTACAGAGGACCCTAACAGCAACCTCACAACACATTCAGCCATGCATTAGGAATATGTCCTGTACTGGGGAAATGTTCTCAGTGCACGGCTGTGATGTGCTGTGAGGATGGTGTGAGAAGTGTTCTATGAGGAGCAAATCCGAATTCAATAGTTGCGGGAGCCAGGGACATATTCATTAGATGACTGACGTGGGACATTATTATTGGTTAAACAACCCCTAATCTATCCATCAAAATCCAGCTAAAATTTGGACCCTAATCACTCGATGCATGGCTGTATTCCTTGATGAAGAAATGAAGAGAGGACAAGGGAAAGAAATGAATGCAGCCAGTTTGAGTGGATTCTTTATTTAATTTTTCTGTTTAATAACATTGCTAGTAGCTGTGGGAATAGTATTTTTTCAAATACTAATACTGCTACATTGGAAATGGCTCAACCTGCAAATGTAGAAGGAGCTAAAACTTCACATCAGTTTACTGCTCTGTATCACCTTTCTGCTGTTCTCTGGCGACCTTGGTTAATTTCTCTTCCTTGTCCAACATTGACACCCGTAAGTTTTGATTCAATTTTTTTTCCCAATCCTGTTCTATCTTCAATCATTTTGTTTTGAAGTGATTACAGCTTATTAAATCTCATGTTGTCAGTTTCATTAAACCTTTTCAACATATTCAGTTACAACCAGTTGTACTAGTTTTTTAGTGATTGGATGATTTATTGGCATCCGATATTTAAAGTAATGGAGGTTCAACTATGATATTGGAACAACTTATAACCAATCTACTGGTAACATACAAGTGATAACCAATCAGGTGGTATTCATCAATAAAAACAACATGGACCCCAAGAAGTTGTGTCGAATTAGTCGAATGTTTTTGCTAAAATATTCAATTCGAATGGTTGATAACAAGAAACAAGCTATGATCTGTGTTGAACTCCATCCTGACAGGAGAAAGAAACTTCACCTCTCATTAAAAAATTGATTCTGTTAGATAGTAAAGATGAGCAAAAAGAACCTAAATGTTCTAGGTTGTCACCTGCACAAGGGTGCAAAGCTAGAGAAAGCAAATTTGAAGGTGGGAGTTGAAGAACATTTCCTTCTGTGCAAATAATTGTTAACAAGCATATCAACTTGCATCATTCTTTGGATTGTGCTACACCCTTATTTTTTTCATTTGTAAGCTTTGAGCAATATGTGTGTGTATATAGTTTGAAGACTACGGTACTATTTAAGACATTATAGTGACACATGAAATAGGGACTCATCAATTTTTGTTCTGAGTTTACATAAACCGAGAATCGATGCATTTTCATGGTTAAAGCAACGATCTCTAAACTTTTTCCTGGCACTCAGGAAATTATAGGTCCAGTATGATCATACCATAGATCAATCATCAATCCAGTGGACAAGTGGGTCAAATTATAGCTTTTAGCATTTGAGGTAGGTAGGTTTTGTTAAGAACAGGCTCGCTATTAAACTTTTACAGGCATTTATTGTAAAATCTTGATATTTTACAATACGTGGACTAACTAGAGTGAATCATTTTCTTGTAGCTCGGGGTCCAAAATATGTGGATCAAATGCAAATGCAACAAGTGGCACTCATTATTTGGATGAAGCTCTTTTGAAAGTCAGATATGTTTTTGGAAACCGGAGAGGGAGAGAATTGTAAATCAACACTGATGGCAGCAGCTATTTGGAAATAGTTAGGTCATCATCATCATCACGCCTTATCCCAATTATATGGGTGAATTCAGTTTCACCAATACTTTAAATATAAAGCCTTACCCACTATTAAATTATTATTACTTAAATAATTTCTTACTGTTTTTATCCATATTCCTTTTTGTTTATCTTGACTAAGGTTTTAAAAACTGACTTGAAAATGGAACTACTGTAGACATCGGTTTTCAAGTTAACAATTTGATCGATCGGGTCAAAGGATTTAGATAGTTTGATTAGATTGGAATATTAGGACAAACTCTTTTAGTATATATTTGGCATCGATGTTACAGATACAATACAGTTTTCTCAGAAAATGGTACATTTTTTTTTGTGTGGAAATGTTGCTATCAAGTAGGACGTTTCTTGGAGGAACAACAACACTTTCTGTTTGGTACCAGTGCTCCGTATCTGTTTTCAACACTGATACCCATTATAGGAAGCCCATGTCACTGCCACACCATATTCTCGTTGGCAGCAACGAGCACCAATCTGAGAAAACGTCAAATTTAGTGTTGCTCCAAACCACACTTTCTCGACTTCCAAAGTGTGGCTTGGAGCACTGTTTTTTATGGAAAAACGGTTCCAAACATATAGACGTTTCCTGGAGCACCATTTTTTCCGATATGGCATTGATGTGTCACCATTTTCTGGAGCAACGACATCAATGCCAAACAGACGCTTAGTCTTTTATGAGGAAAGAGAGGTGATGAAGGAAGATTTGGCCCGACCTCGTAATCACTCAACACGTGGCAAAGGCAACAGCTCGGCATAATAGCTCGCCAAGGCACGAGCTCCGAAGGGAGGAACCAGCGGTTCGAACTCTTCACAAGGAGCCCGAACTCCCAGTACGGAGCCCGAGCTCTTCCTTAGGCCCCGAGCCTTATGAACACAAAAGGGCAACAACCCGAACTGGCCTGTCCCATGGCAGTTCGGGCCACACCTCTCTCTGAACTCAAGATTTCGCCTCCCGCACCACTCTAGCACTTCGCCCCCAGGACACCGAACTGAACAAACCGTACCTGACACCGAAGGAGTCCGTATCCAGGGGCGGCGCACCTGACTGACTTGGGATCTGACGCTTGACAGCCGCATTCCAACGGCCACCTGCCCTTGCCATCTCCAGTTGCAGAGACGACTCTGACAAGGAGCAATGGCGGTTCTGTCCCAGCAGAGGGGATGACGCCCGAACTAGTAGAAGCACAGAAGTAATCATACTCGACCTAACAGAAGCCTCGGAGTGAGTGCGCGAAGTTGTTATAAAAGGCTCCCTACCCCCCAAGAACAAGGTATGTGAACTTTGCGCCATCTGGTTTTATATTGCCTTTGAGAAAATACTAACTTGAGCTTCGGAGTAATCTCACCGGGTTCCCCCCGGAGTTTCCTCATCCTCTCCGTTTTAGGTTCCTTGTAACTCCGTTCAGAGGCAAGGTCGTTGACACGTAGGACCGGCCGGATTGCGCAGCATCAAGAGGCATATGTAGACATGTAGTTGTCAGTTGAGAAAAGAAAGAAAGAAAGAAAGAAAAGAAGGAAGAAAGGAAAGAAGGGAAAGAAAAAAAGGAAGGAAAGAAAGAAGAGGAGGATCTGACATTCACCGGCAATGACAATAGCGATGGCAACAGCAACAGAAACGCAACGGCAACCATTCAGATCTCTCTACTGAGATCTGAGAACTAAGAAGTGAGATCTCAGATCTTATTTCTATCCGATCTCTCCAATCTTACTTTTCTGTCATCTCTCTCTGGGATCCTTGTGATCTCAGATTTGAGATCATTCTTGTCTCAGTCCCTCCCATCTCCCAATCTCGTATGTTTCCCTATTAAATTGCGATCTACCGCCCAGGTCAAACAAGGTCAATAGTTCAACCGCCCAAGTCAGTGGTTCTCTGACCAAGTCAACAATTTTTGGCCCAAGACCAGGTTAAGAATGAAAGAAAACCGATTGCCTGAATGGCTCTCGAGCCAAACGGTCCGATCTTCCAGGTCAAACGATGGTTCAGGCTTCAGAAACACTGATCTTAAGGTTTTTTAGCCCTTACAATGCATAACAAATCACTTCTTTAACTGGCGCAATTGATAGTCTTTCATGCATGACCAAACTATCTTAGTCTACTGTAAACTCCAAACTAACCATCTAGTTACAGAAGTAGCAAATCAGAACATCATTCTTTAGTTGGGAATTTTCCTTAAGGTTATGTTTGATTTGAAGGAAAAAGTAGGAAACCTATACAAGATTTGTAAAATTTTCCCTACAGTTCCTTTCCTTTCCCTACCTTTTTTCCTTCAAACCAAACAGAGCCTAAAAGTTCCGATCTTCCTTCTAGCCTATCTCCATTTCAAACTGAGCAACGAAAGTTAATATTATCATTTTCTTTGGTAATCCAACCCAAAAATTAAAGAAAAAGAATATTGAAGAGTTGTATCTTGTATGCAACCTTCATCGTCGACAAGGAATCATCACATAACAATTAACAAGCCTTGGTTGTTCAGCAGCCTTGAGAGAACCAGAACCCCCATAAGCAGTACTTGGCGATAAAATATCAACTCTTTCTGTTGATCACAATATCACACCGAGACCGAGTAAACGCGAGTGCCATACCCAATGGAAAGGAGGCATTGCTCCTAAACGGCCGTTGTTGGGGGAATGTCAACTAAAAGGGCAACCCGTTGTTGGGGGACCGGTTTCCAGTTAAGCAGTTCAACCGTTCGGGTTGAACAGTTCGGTCTGTGACATCATAAATAAATTAAAAAATATAAAATATATGTTCAATTTTGGGAACCACCTGACCTTCAGTCCTTCCAACCTGAAAGTATAAGATTCACAAAAAAATACAAAACTTTTGAGTTCCCAAATTGGTGGAAAACTTTTGGGAATCACCAATTTCGAGCCTGACACTCTATTGGGAACCCAAAAGCTTTGCATTGTTTTTGAATTTTATACCTTCACTCTCGAAGGACTGAAGGTCGGACATGCATGAGAGAATAGTGGGCAGAAAATATACCATCACCGCCAGTACAAGTAAGGTTGCAAAATCATCGGCCGCTGGACCTATTACTGCCGCAGCGCAATCCACAACTGTTGCTATTAGATCTGTTGTAAAATCAATGCTGTACGCCATAGACAAAGCTCACCACAACTGTGTGTCACCGTCGGACGCCATAGGTGTTTGATTGGATGTGATGGATGAGAAGAGGGAAGGGGTTAGAACGAAAATGGGATCGCGTTCTAACCCTAAACGTAAGAGATGGGGATTGAGGATATGGAGTCATTTTGTTTTTTGTTTTTTTATTTTATTTAAATCAGTGAAAATAAAAATGATAACCCGCAAACAGCTGCCCGAATTAAACGGTTTAACGGTTCGACCGCCCAGGTCAGCGGTTTTCTGACTTTTTCAACAGGTTTTGAAGATTTACCGGACCCAAGGGGCTGAACGGTTACCAGTTTTTCCGATCCAACCATCCGGTCCGGTTTTTAAAAACCATGCGGTAAACCAAACAATTGCAATAAAAGCCAAAGAGGACAATGAAAACCTAAAAGGAAATCGCACGGAATACTAACAACCACCAGTACGTATTTCATAAAATCATCATCTTTTTTTCAAAGAAACAACCACACATGCATGACAGACAACATTGAAACGAGTATGCATCTACACGGAAATCAGGAAAACATCTCAGATAAGTTGACTTAATCCCATGCTCCAAAGGACGAGTTTTATCAAATGACCCATATGACATCGCCTCTACTCACTCTAGTTCCCAACGATTCTATTGACGACTATTGTCAATACTCATTTCTTCCCACTTTTCTTGAGGCCTGTACCTCCGAACGTACCCTTCTGGGATGCCTTCGCCCTCAGCTCCCTCAGTGCCTGCCCACCATCCAGACCAAAATTAACTTTTATGTCTTCTATTCACATTTTTATAACATATGAATAACATTTATTACTCAGTCTCACCTTTTCCTCGTCTTTCTTCTTCTGAATATTTGCCATATCAACCTGCAGGGAAAAAGTTTTTCAAGTTCAATATGTTAGAAGAGCTGGTCTCACGGCCAGCTACTGATAAAAGTATCTAGAGTTCTAGCCAACACAAAAAGTAAGATCGAGACCGATCTTCCATCTTTTAAAGATGGTGCGGTAAAGATTTATGATAATAAAAACATAATAATCAACCGCTGTAGGCTGGATTTCATTTTTCTTTTCCTGCAAAACTCATTGCACTTTGCATTACTAGATAGAAGATCAAGCAATGAAAGCATAAGAGCTAACTTTTGTCCATCTAAAGGGCACCTTGATTTGTTGCTTCTGACTAGTTAAAAACCTGAACGTTAACATAATAATAACCAGTGTTGCATGGACACAGTAGGAAATTAGAATCTGACAATAATCTGGGCATCCGACTCTGTGACATAAGGATTCAAGGACAGGTCTATAGAATAGTATGAAACTATTAAAAGATTCTTTTTTGAATTTTAACATTACATATATACCTAGAGAATATGGTTTTAAATTTTTTGTTGCTTAAATAATGCTTCATAGGAAAACTTACATTCATTATGTACATATATCCCTACCTTTTCTTTCAAACCAAAAACAGGCTAAAGGATGCATGCAGCATGGCCATGAAGGGTCTACAAAAGGAAAATCAAGCACTGATTTAAAATGCCATAAACCATGGCTTTTAGGAGTGCTCAAAGTTCATACTCAAACAAACGGGAAAAAAACTAGTATTTAAACTTTAAAACTTGTGAAGGAATGGGAAATTGGTAATCTTTATTAATGGCAACAAAGTGGAATATTAAATTCTTGAAACTAACCCCATTCAGATAAGAGGCATAACTCCTCCATCTATACTAGTTTTCAACTAGATATAAAGGAAGCGTGCAAAATGCAAGATGGCCATAAAAGGTTCTGAAAAAAAAAACGAAAACAATGAATTGATTTTAAATGCCATAAATCATGTTTATTGGAAATTTCAAACTCAAACAAATAGGGAAAAACTTGTATTCAATCTTGGTGATTTGTGAAGAATCAAAAATCTTCATCAATGGCAACAGCTAACAGAGTGGAAGATGAAGTAATGAAGTTACTACTAATCATTAGTTTTCAAAGCGCCAAGGTGAGGCTAGGTTGCCTAGGCGATGAATTTCTTTTTGAACAAATATCATGAATTCTAGGGCAATTCCCTAGATTTCATATCAAGCGGCAACCACTTTCAGTAGTAATTGTCTATAACCTTCATAAAAAATGAATACAGTACATTTAAAACATAGAAAATCAACATATTCATGGAAAAAATGGAATAAAGAAAAGAAATTTCAGAAAATAGAGGGGCTGAGCCTCTATTTTTGTCCTAGGAAAAGAAGAAAAGAAAGGATGAAGGTTTTGAGTTCTCCCATGCTTATTAGTTCAGGTTTTGAAGCCTTTGAGGGTTCAAGACAACAAACAAATTGATTGAACCCTAACAAATAAGAAAATAATAAAAAGTATTTTTAACACAAAAAAGAGCATAAAAGTATATAATAGCACCATGTACAAAATACCTTGGTGATTAAGTGAGGCGACCCTCCATGGGTACCTTGTTTCTTGGGTGTCACCTTGACAACTTTGCTAATAATTGATATGGGGTTTGAGCTTTGTTACTGAACAGAAAGTTACAAAATGAAAATTTCCAAGGACTAAAAGGTTAGGAGGGACTGAACTTTCATGCAACTGGGAGTGACAAATATCCAAGGTGGCAAATCCTATCATAGGCCTTAAGAAATGGATCATTCAAAATGGACTATTCCAGATCTTGAGGATAGTCAGGAATTAAACCATTTTATGTCCTGCGCTTTTGAAATTCATACATGTAACATGGAATTTCATTAATTACATCTTCTCAAGATATCTTCATTCATATGCTGCATTCTGAAATCCCAAAGGCATGAAATCCCTTTATAATGTCTGAATCTAGTAGCTAGTAGGGTCCTTATTTTTGGGGAGAGTTAATGAACTGATAAGCTAAAACGTTCCTCAAAACCTTGGTTTTCCCCTTATTGTAGCAGCTTATCAGGAATAGTGACAACCAATACCCAAGGGACAAGTCATAGATGAACTGGAAAAAAAAGAACCCACGGTTTTGTTTCAAAGAACACCTTAACCAACCAGCCCTCAACGGACTATCAAAGCACTTCCACTGCAGTCTGGTAGAGGATACCAACAAAAGTACAGACAACAACTGGTAGATATCCCAGGTTCTAGCTTCTTGAATAACAGAATATCGTGTCAGGATAGGATCATTACTACATCCTACATATACCACTATTTATAGAACTCTAAAACTTCATTAGTTTCAGTCTCAGAACCCCGAAAAGATAGTAACAAAATATATCTTCCATAAGTATCCAATTTCTGTTTTGAAGTGTTGATAAGGGAAACTGTACAGCGTGTTCAGTAATCTACAAACGGGTCCGAAAGAAACCCCAAACATGAGGAACAAAGGGTGAACCTTGAAAGGCTCGAAACTAAACCGATGAACACGATATATTATAATCCCAACAGCACTTGTAAGCATATATGTAATAAACGCTATATCTCTATGCCAAAAGATAGTAATGAGATATCTTCTAAAAGTATCCAATTTCTGTTTAAGTGTTGATAAGGACAACTATACACCGTGTTCAGTAATCTACAAACTGGTCCGAGAGAAACCCCAAACATGAGGAATAAAGGTTGAACCTTGAAAGACTCGAAATCAAACCGATCGACACGATATGCTCATAAATCCCAACAGCAGTTGTAACCAGATGTCTAATAAAAGCCCTATCTCTATGCCAACTTACCAATAAAGAAATAAAAACAATACTACGCAGAGGTCATAAACATTTGATTCATTGAAAAGGTAAAAGAAGAACAAAACTTCAAAACCTAAGATGATGAATATATGATATGATGCATAGGACGAACAGATCGAGAGCCCCCGAAAGGAGAAAGAAGCAGAGCGGAGATACCTCGTCATATTCTTTCTTATCAGCCTTTGGTTGCTTCAAAGGCTTCGCTTTTCCACCTACAAGATGAAACAGACATCTACTTTTAGTTTCACGAAACCAATCCAACGAGGAATCTCACTATCTCTCTACTTGGTAGGAGGAGCAGGAGAGGGTTACCTTGCTTGGACGACATGGTTGCTTGGTTTGTTTGGCTTGGTCGTGCAAGAGTCGATCGCCAATGGCCGAAGCCCGACCGCAGACAACCACTACTCTCTCCCTCCTCTCTGAAGTCTGGTATGATGATATGGGCGGTCAATTATTGTGCCCTTAGGACTATATATAGACAGTGAGTCGCGACTCACGACTCGCTGACTCGTGGGCGTGGGAAAAGAGAGATGTGTTAGGCCCGGCGGGATCGGGTTCGCCTATTTCCTTAGACGAGTCGTCAAGAAAAGGGTTATACCCCCCCGCCCCCGGAAAGTAACGACAAAGAGGATTAGGAATGATATGAATATTCCACGCTGGATCCACGTGTTTCCCATTTCACTTACGCGGTAAAAGTTTTTTTTATTTTGCGAAATTGTCTAAAACTCGGCATTTCTCTTAGGCCGTGTTTAACATCTATGCGGTTTTTTGAGAAAATAGCGCCACATCAGAAAAAGTGTTTCAAAAAAAGACCTCTTATTTGGTATTGTTTTTCAGAAAAATAATTGCTCCGGACTACGTCTTGAAATTTGAAAAAGTGTGATATGAAGAAATATCAAATTTTTTTCAGAAAACAGCATATTGCTACCATTCGTACAATGATGTGACATCCATGTTGCATCATCTTGGGTATTAGATAATGTAAATCAATGCTGAAAACAGTTATACAGCACTGGTACCAAACAGAACCAGTGCTGTTTTTCCATAAAAGAGCCTATGTGGCAACTCCGATGCCAAACAAAAAAAAATGAGCCATTTTCTGAGAAAACGGTGTAATAGATTTTCATGCATATAGAACCGTCTTTGAAGCAACAACATTAATGCCAAACACCTAGTTAAATTCACTGTAACTTTTGAGAGTATGGAGAATCCTATGCCAATGATTTCTTGTTTTCTAAAAACTCACAATTGTTGTTTATTGACAAAAGTTGCCATATCAGCATAAATATAACTTTTATGACCAAATTGCCCCTATGTTAATCTTATTAAAATATTTTTATGCTGGCCTAATCTTTATTCAATACACCTTTGTTCTAATTGACATGAGTGGCATATGATAGAAATGGATGTTGGGTCCTATAGAACCATGTGTGTTGTTCTTAATGATAGATATTTTCTTGATCTTGGTTCTTGTTGCATTTGAAATTAAAAGGGATAAAGTGACATTTGTGCAATGCAATTAGATATGGAGCATCAAATGAGTTTGATTTTGAATCAAAAGTGTTTTTTTTATTTATTTATTTATTTGAAGCTCCCTTTTTACTTCAATATATAAAATGGTTAGATTTTTTTTGGCCAAAATATTTGAGATATATTTTTGTTGTTTTTTTATCAAAGTTTTGCTTTATTTTCCATTTACAACTGAATAAAGGGTAATCTACCAACATCCGTTAGTCTATTTAATGCTAGTCTAAAACTCACCTTCCGTTAAGATTTTAATTAGATGACTGTTTGTGACCATTAACAAAAGTTGTCCATGTAAGCATTTAAGTTATTTATATAACCAAACTACCCTAAATGGTTAGTCAAGCTTATTAAATATGTTTATAACAAAATTACCCCAAACTTGGTACAGGGTCTACACTAGGCGTGCAAATTTTAGAGTTGGGCTTGGGCCTAATACTTCAAGCTTGTCCTAGGCCTAGCGTATTTAACAAGGTTGACTGACCATTTAAGGTTAATTTTGTTATAAAAATAATTAACAAGGGTGCTTGACCATTTTAGGGGTAGTTTAGTCATATAAAATACTTAAATGCTTACATGGATATATTTTATTAATGATCACTGATGGTCATCTAACAGAAATCATAACAGAATGTGAGTTTTAAATAATAAAACTCAATGACTGGGGGTTCTGTGATTGTTTTGAAAAGTCATTAAGAATTTAAGAGAAATGTAAAATAGTCGTGGTGAGTTTTAGATAATATCCCCTATTTTTTCGGATTTTTGAAATTTTGACTGATTTCATAAGGTAAATGCAAAACCCACCCATTATGGGGTCAATGATAATTATCACTTGATCTTTTATTTGTCACAAAGACCACTTCTACTATAGATTAGTGATAATTATGAAATTTCATTTTGGGATAAAGATCCCCTTAAATTTCACTTTACCATAGATACCTCTTGTGTTAGAGTTTCATTAGTTAACTTTGAAAAAGATTTTCACTATGTTTAAAAGCTTTTAAATCCCCAAATCACCCTTTATTATTATTTTTTGAATGATTTATGATTTGATTAGTATTCTAAATATAATAATGAAGTCCTCTTGATTGCTCCAATAGATCATTATAGATTGTTGGATTGATACAATATTCAAATAAAATAGTAAAGGTTTTTCCTAATATATATAAATTTAAGGTTTTATTCGGTTTTCTTAATTTACTAGAGAAAGGAGTAGATAATTTTTATATTTTAAATTAAAGAGAAACTTGCTAGTAAAATGAAATAGGAATTTAAAGAAGCTCTTTTTTCTACATCAAATAAATAATTCTTGTTATTTTAGTTGGTTCAATTAGGAGTGAAAATGAAGGTATTTTTTGGTTAATTAGTGTTTAAGAGAAAAGGTTGAGAAAAACAAAATAAAGAAAGTTTAACAATTCAACGCATTCTGTCATCTAACTATGGTCAGGGGGTATTTTTTGCAAAATGAAAATTCAGGGGATTTTTGTTGCAAATGAAGGTTTATGGGGCAATTGTCATTGTCTCATTGACCCCTAGTAGAGGGTGATCTTTGTCGTAAATGAAAGTTTAGAGGGGTAATTGTCACTGGCCCCTAGTAGGGTGAGATCTTTGTCACAAATGAAAGTTTAGGGGGATAATTGTCACTAACCCCATAGTACGGGAGGGGGTTTTTATAATTTACCCTTCTCATAATTGTGAAAAAAGATTATTTGTTTTTGTAATTTGATACTTCTCAACCAGAATTATTCATGGGCCGATAGCTCAATGGGCTGTCCAGGCCATTCTTTATCGGAATTGGACAAAATTTTAGACATGTGGGTTTATACTCGAGCTCGAGACATGTATTAGTTTTATATAATATAGACGGGATATGCATGTATGCAAATAAATATTAATCATATATGATATATGGTATTTGGATTTAACTCTTATGAACTGCATGGGACCCGAGACAAGTATTTGCTTTATATAGTATAGATTTACTAGACCTATTATATAATATTATATATTCCAAACTGGATTTGGGCTTGGGCTCAGGGCCAAACATTTTTTATTAATAAAGAGGCAAAACCTGACCCAGCCCGTGAACAGGTGTATTCTCAACACACGAAATTAGTTACAAAGCATAAATCTATTATGAGATCTCATAAAGGCATGTTGAAGTGAAATTAAACATTTTAAAAGCACTTAAATTTGCTCTCACAGAGAGCGTGCCTTACACCAACCTCACAGTGCATCACAGCCATGGAACATCATCCCGTGATTGATAACATCAGATTACGGGAGATATTTATGCTTTGCTGTTAGGTTGGTGTGAGGTGTGCTCCGTTCCAGTTCCATTTATTTCCAATCCTCTTTACTGTTTGAATTTTAATAAATTCAGATAGGATTTAGGGTTCCGATGAACCTATTTTTATCTATTTATATAAATGATTTCTTTTCTATGTTTATGCTGAATATGTACTGAATTTCCAATCAAATTGGATATTTGATTTGAGATCAATGAACAATATGGATTTCAGAATTGATAAAATTGCATCAAAAGGTATACATATACATACATAGATGATTGCTTGATATAAGATCACACAAAAATAGTCATTCATTGCAAGTTGAATGAACAACTACTTCTATCGGCCTTGTATGACAGTAATGGTTGCATGGTTAATGGAACAATCTTCCAACTTCCGGTCTCTCTGAGACTGAGAATAATCCACCTGAACCGAGTTATTTGTCTTAAAAAAACCGGGTCGTTTAGGATCAGGCAGAGGTATCATTTCATTACTCAGCATGGAGGCAACATCCGACATTGTGGGTCTATCACTTGGACTCTCTTGTACACACAACAGACCAACATGAATGCATCTGATCAACTGTTCATGTCTGCAACATGAAGAAACCAGAGTGGGATCCACCAGTTTCAGGCTTGCTTCTTCCTTCCACAGCTCCCATGCCTGAAACAATACCAATTCAATTACATTACAATTGTTTGACAAGTATTACTTCTACTCTACAAATTTTGGTTTTAGACTGAACAGAATGGAATAGTGAAACAGGATTTATGTAGCCAACCCCATATAGTTGAGACAAGGCTTAGATGAAACTTACGCATCCAACAAGGTTAAGAGGGCGATCTGAATGACAAGTGCCGGTGTTCTTCCTCCCGCTCACGATTTCTAGCAGCAAAATTCCAAAGCTATAGACATCAGACTTAACAGAGAAGATTCCATCCATGGCGTACTCAGGGGACATGTAACCACTGCAATCAATCATGCACAAAGCAAACATTTTCAATTAATTCTTAATATATTTAGGAGCAATCTCCAAAAGGGTTAATTTGGGTGTGAAATACTTACTAGGTCCCAACAATTCTGTTTGTGTTTGTTTCATCTTCATTCCGCCCAAAAATTTTAGCCATGCCGAAATCTGATATCTTGGGATTCAACTCATTATCCAATAGAACGTTACTTTCTTTTAAGTCTCTGTGTATTATTCTCAGCCTAGAATACTGGTGAAGATAAATAAGCCCCTGAGCAATTCCTTCAATGATGTGGAAGCGTTTGTTCCAATCTAGCAACTCTCTGTTAGTAGGATCTGCTCCAAAGCATTAAAATTTAGGTCTATTTTGTGCATGTGAAGAGAGAGAGAGAGAGAGAGAGAGAGATGAAGCGTAGAGAAGTAGATAAATTTGAAACTGTGCAAACCAAACTAAATAAATAAACAGAGGAAGTAGAGAGTACCAAAGAGGAAGGAGTCCAAGCTTTTCTTGGGCATGTATTCATAGATCAAAATCTTTTCTTCTCCTTCAATGCAGCAACCCAAAAGCCTAACAAGATTCACATGTTGGAGTTTGGCAATGAGTAGGAGCTCATTTTTGAATTCCTCCATTCCCTGTCCTGAACTTCTTGAGAGTCTCTTCACTGCAATTTCTTGCCCCTTTGCTAATTTTCCCTAAAGTAGTGAGGGTAATTATCATGAGTAATGTCAATATTAAAATTTCTGGGCTTGGGTCTAAGTTGTGTTCAAGCCCAGAATCAGCCCCTGCCCGGCCTATGATTCCTCATAATTTGGTTTAAAATATGTGACCATGAGTAAATCACCAGTTATTTTAATTTAGAAGGTGAAGATGGGTTTTGATTTTTGAACATAGGTGTGTCCTTCCCTTTGAACCATCTGATTAAACCGGTGATCTGGTGATGTGATATAGGTACAATTGTGGTTTGGATTAACCTCTAACCCATGATATTACAAAAGCCTACATGGATTGTTGAACTGCTAGCCTGCCTGACATGTTTAACAGATAATAATGTCAAATGTTGACCCATTGATCCAAAAGGTTGAACCATTGACATAGAAGAAAAGTGGTTCAGCCTTTGGGCCGGATTTTAAAACATTGATAATCTCCTTGGTTGGAGAATACTACAAGCTCCTTTAGTCTGAAAGCATCTTAGTGACTAGTTTGAGAGTTTAAAATCTCTTGCACTCTTTTCTGACACTTTTTGAGTATGCATGCAAGTATGAGAGTTTGAGTCTCAAAGCATCTTAGTAACTAGAAGTGCAGGAGGCCGGACTGAGTTTTAGGACTACAGGAGCTTACCTTGTAAACAGGTCCAAATCCGCCCTGACCAAGCTTATTTTCTGATGAAAAGTTGTCTGTGGCGACTACGATGCTGGATAGACTGAATAGCTTTAATTCATGATCTTCCTTCCCATCTTCAACTTCAAGTAATAATTTCTCTTGGTTTGTTTCATTTTGTTCTGCTGAATACAGAGAAAAATAAGATCTTGCTTGTCTTTTGACTAACACGGACCTTCTTTTCAACTTTTAGATCGACTGTAAGAGGTTACCTCTTGATCTGAGACTTCTCCTCTTCAAGCAGTAAAAGATGCCCAAACCCAACAGAGGCATCAGTACACCGACTACTATGGCAACGGTGTACAACAACCATCGCCTATCTTTTGATTCTTTTTCTGCATTGGAAATCAATTACTTCCTACAACTAAATTGTTGAAAATTGAAATAATGGATGATTCATAGAGTTACTTGGTGCTTACTGTTGGCTGTCAATTGTTGATCTAGAAACGAACCCAGAATATAGATAGGAATAGGATCCCAGGAGGATGATTCCCGAAAAGTAAAATCTCTGTTCCAAAGCTGGCATCCCGTCTCTTCGGCATAATAAGTTTTGTAAGCTATACAAGAACAATTGCTCCAGCACATGTCTGCACAGTCTCTGAGTCTTAAGCTCGCATTCAAGGACGTGTAGAAAGAACCAGGTCCATCCATATACCCCTGTTTGGAATAGAACAACTCTCCTCTCCTGCACCCTGGTACCTTCTGCTCCACACACCCTCTCTTGTTTTCTCTGGAGTAGTTGTAGGGCAGATGGGTTGGACACAGAATGCTGAAACTATCATACGTGTCGTCGTTCCAGTTGTAGAATTTATATTGCCTGATGTTTCCTTCAGAATCCAGCACCCAAAACGACGGAGGAGAAGAATTTTGCTTTAGGGAGTAAGTGAAGTATCTCTCGTCCTCACTCCAGACGTAGCTGAAATTGTATGTGACATTGTCGGATGTCAACTCAGGGACGCTCTTGAAGCTTCGGCCATCCCACACTCCGCTTTTCCAGTAAACATCCCGTCGACGCCAGGCCAACAACTGGTTAGTACCCATTGGGTCCCCGCCCAGAGAGAAATCCCCCGACGAGAGGTCTTCATTGGTCAGCCAAGAAGTTAGACTCCAGTTATGGCCGGTCTTCGAGTTGAAGCCCAGTTTCATCCCGGGCAGAAGCGTGTTCGTGGGATAATCGAAGCTCTGCCACAATACCCGTGTTGCAGTTCCATTAGAATCGACCTCCCTCAGAACAAAATTTCCCGAGTCCAATAGAGTAGCTGTCACGTTACCGGCGGTCTGTTTGGAATATAACATAATAGCACTGCCTCCACTGTGTGTGATTTTCAATTTTCCGTCGCCGTCGATCGTAAGAAGACCGGAGGAATCGGCAATTGGGGTATTTCGATTGSCAACCCAGACAACGGTCGCATCTCGAGCTTTGTTGTAGGAAATACCCAGGTAGCGGTTCCTTGAAGCGCCCGGGCTGAAAAATCCCAGTCTGAAAATTCCACCTGCAGACTCCAAGTGATCCCAGTCCTGAACCCCTTCACCCTCTGTTATTATTGTGTCCCTTGTTGCTGCAACTGCGTCATGGGATGTTCTTAGAGCAAAAACGAGTGAAAAGACGAGAAGGGAAATTTTGAATTTCCCATAGGTGCTGCTGCTTCTCTTGGTGAGGAGAGACATCGATAATCTATCAATCAACACACAGCAGCGACCAGCAGAGGAACTGATAAATTAACGTGAGGGGAGTTTGTCTTCTGGTTATTGCTCGGGTCCACTTGCAATTTGCAAAAGAATTTGAAAATGGGCAGATCATGATTGACTTGGACCGACGATGAGAGAAAATTCTGCCTTTTTCTTTCATGGCTTTACTAAAATGAAAGATGAAGGTTCCAAGCAGATGATTGACTTGGACCGATGACGAGAGAGAGAGAGAGACAGATAGACTGAGCGCTGCACTCTGTTCATCGACAATGTCGGCTTGCGTGGAATGGATAGTTTGATCACGACTGTTATCTACTTACCTACACAGTAGCTGGTTGAATAAATGATCTTTGACCTGTTACGGCCGGCGAGGGCCCTCACTATGTGGTGCGAAAACTGGGTTTGAATTTGAGGCAAAATCTATCCTTTATTAGGTTGGAGTCTAGAGGATTGAAGAGAGAAAACGCCATACGAAGATCATCAGCAATTATCAATTGAGCTTTAGTTAACACGAAAAAGCTTTAACAAAGAGAATCACCATCTATTATTCACAATTGCCATCAAATTTCCAATCATACAATCATCATACAATTGAAATAAAGTAGTGCTGCCAAGAGCCAACAAGAACTTCTATCGGCCTTCCATCACAGTAATGGTTGCGTGGTTAATGGAAACACCTTCCAAATTCCTGCTATGTGAATCCACTGGAGCCAGACTTCTATCTGAAAATCCGGGTTGATTAGGCTCAGGCAGAGGCATCATTTGATTAGTTAGCATAGACACAACAACGGACATTGTGGGTCTGTCACCTGGGCTTTCTTGAACACACAAGAGACCCACATGAATGCATCTTAGAAATTCATTTCTGCAACATGAAGGATCCAATGTGGGATCTATTAGCTTTAGGGCAGCATCTTCTTTCCACAACTCCCATGCCTGAAACAATTCAATTCACTTGTAGTATCAGAAAAGCTCAGTTCCTGGCTAGCTATTTGTAATGTAGGTTTATTTAAGCATACAACTTACATAGCCAACAAGGTTAAGTGGGCGATCGGAAAGATAAGAAGCTGTGTTCTTCTTGCTGCTGACGATTTCCAGCAGCAGAACTCCAAAGCTATAGACATCAGACTTAACTGAGAAGATTCCCTCCATGGCGTATTCAGGGGCCATGTAACCACTGGATCCAATTATCAGGAAAACAATTTTGATTTTTGAGAGACAAACAATAAAAATGAAATCCATGAAAATATACTTGTTTAGAGTGGTTGTTGTTTACTTACTAGGTCCCAACAACTCTGTTTGTGTTTGCTTCACTTTCATTTCGCCCAAAAATCCTAGCCATGCCAAAGTCTGAAATTTTGGGGTTTAACTGATTGTCCAACAAAATGTTGCTTGCTTTTAAATCTCAATGTATTACTCTCAGTCTAGAAAATTTGTGAAGATAAAGAAGCCCATGAGCAATTCCCTCAATGATGTGGCGACGTTTCTTCCAATCTAACAAGTCCTTTTTAACAGGACCTGCTTCTCAGGTAAAAAAAGTAAATCAAAATTTGGGTATTTAGTTTACTAACTTGTGAATGAAAGAAGTAGATGATATTTAAAAGTATGCAAAACCAAAGCAATTAGATCATCAAGTACCAAAGATGTAGGAGTCCAAGCTCTTCTTGGGCATATATTCATAGATTAACATCTTTTCTTCTCCTTCAATGCAGCAACCCAAAAGCTTAACCAGGTTCACATGTTGGAGTTTGGCAATAAGTGCGAGCTCAGTTTTGAATTCCTCTACTCCTTGCCCTGAACTTCTCGAAAGCCTTTTAACTGCAATCTCTTGCCCTTCTAATAACTTACCCTGAAGTAATGAGAATATGTTTTAGAATTTAGAGTGCAACTTGGCTTTGGTTCCAGCAGATTTGGAAATGTGATCAAAAGTAAGTATCTGCAACTACTTGTCCGGCTCTACTGGACCGAAATTTAATTAATAGGAACTCTCTCAGCACTAACTAAGGCTTTGAAATTGAATTAGAATGTGAAGATGGCTTTTAATTTGATACAGGGTTTGTGGTATAGACAAGCTTTAACAGCTAATCTAGTAGCCATTTAACATTTCCATGGAAAAACTGGCTTTACTGATGAAAAAGATGTACATCTTAGATTGAGAACAAGAGAAGCTTACCCTGTAAACAGGCCCAAATCCACCCTGGCCAAGTTTATTTGCTGAGGAAAAGTTTGTGGTATAGACAAGCTTTAACAGCTAATCTAGTAGCCATTTAACATTTCCATGGAAAAACTGGCTTTACTGATGAAAAAGATGTACATCTTAGATTGAGAACAGGAGAAGCTTACCCTGTAAACAGGCCCAAATCCACCCTGGCCAAGTTTATTTGCTGATGAAAAGTTATTTGTGGCCAGTATGATGCTGGCTAAACTGAACAATTTCAAGTCCTGATCCTTCTTCCCATCCTCAGAAGTTGTGACATTAGTTCCCAGTTCAAGCAGTAGCTTCTGTTGGCTTCTTTCTTTTTCTTCTGTTGGATACATAGAAGCAATAAAATTGATATTATCATCTTTTCTGTGAGAAATTTCCAATTAATCTTTACTTAGATTGAGTTTGAGCTCTTACCTTTTGATTTGATTCTTCTCCTGCGCATGCAACAGAAGATGCCTAGGAGAATTATTACTGTAGCAACCACTGCTGCAGCAGTGCACCATATCCATCGCTTATTTTTTCCTGCAATGGAGATCATTTAGCATTTATCTGTTCATCTCATGCCAACAGTACAATTTTAATTTCTAAATCATTTATACGTTGTATTGGTCAGGTTTATAGAAAAACGGTGATCCAGTGCTGAAGGAGATGATGGAATCATTCGCAGGCCCATTTATAGAAAAACAAAGTCATTTCCTTTTCCACCAGAGAATTTGCAGTTCTTGATCTGAATTTCGACCCGAACTAATCCAATTTCAGTCTTCAATTAATTGTTCAATAAAAAAAGGAAAGATTCGAAAACTAAGAAATAGTTAAACAGCTTACCAGTGGAACGAAGAAGGAAGATTTGATCATTGTAATTCGAAGATTCCCGGAATGTAGAGCCACTGCTCCAAAGCTGGCATCCCGTCGCGTTATCATACAAAGTGGCATAAGCGATACAAGAACAATTGCTCCAGCACATCTTGTCGCAATCATCGATTCTGAGACTCGCATTTTCCACGTACCGGTAGGGAAGAGAAACACCCACATATCGAACTTCGAGATGGAACCACTGGTCGCCTCTCCGGCACTCCGGTGCGTTCTGTTCCGCCAAACACCCTTTCTTGTTTTCCTCAAAGGTGGGGAAAGGAGAATGCGATATCGGACAGATTATCGAGGAACTCTGATACGTCACTCCCCAGTCGTAGAACTTAAATTGATAGATGTACCCGTCGTAATTCAGCACCCAAAAGGAAGGGGGAGAAGAATTTCGCTTCGGGATATAAGTGAAGTACCTCTCGTCTTCAGTCGAGACAAAGCTGAAATTATACCTAACATCGTCTGATGTCAGCTTAGGGACGCTCTTGAAACCTCGGCCATCCCACACCCCACTGTTCCAGTAAGCATCCCGTCGATACCAGGCCAATAACTGGCTCTTACCAGTTGGGTCCAAGCCCAGAGAGAAAGCTCCCGGAGATGGGTCGTCGCCGGTCAGCCAAGAAGTGAGAGTCCAGCTTTGGCCGGTCTTGGAGTTGAATCCCAGTTTCATCCCGGGCAGGAGCGAGCTGGTGGGGTAATCGAAGCTCTGCCACACCACACGCTTCGGACTTCCATTAGGATTGACTTCTCGTAGAACGAAATTGCCGGAGTCGAGTAAGGTAGCTGTCACGTTACTAGTCGTTTGGTTGGAACATAGGATGATAGGATTCCCCCCACGGCTTGTGATTTTCAATATTCCATCGCCGTCGATGGTAAGAGCACCGGAGCTATCGCCGATTGGGGTATCTCGGTTGGCAACCCAGACCACGGTTACGTCTCCTTGATATTTATTGTATGAAATACCCAGATAACGGTTCTTGGAAGCGCCCGGGCTGAAGAAGCCTAATCTGAAAATTCCATTAGCGGATACCAATTTCTGCCAGTCCTTGAGCTCTTGCCCCTGTGTGATTGTGTCCTCTGTTGCCGTTGCCGCTGCGCCGTGGGAAGCAGAAAAAGATACGAGTACACAGATGAATGAGAAAACGAGAAGGGAGAATGGTGCATGGACGATGGTTCTCTTGTTAGTAGCCATTTTTTTTCTTTTTCCCGGCAATCAGTTGAAGAATTAGCACACAAGAAAAAACGACGCTCCAAAGGGGATGGAGCTGGTAAACTGATTAAAGCCAACGCCGTGAGAACTGAGGACTGGAGTTTCTCGGTCTCTCACGGTGTGCTGCAGGTACCTTTAAAAGAAGGCAACGAATCGATTTGATTTTCTTCCTCCCCGAAGCCCGTGAAGGCATGATTGAATCCCAACTCCGAAGCCTCCGCGGCAACCAGACAGAGACATTTCCGACGAGCCAATTGACACCTTTAAATCGATTTGAATCTGGGAGTTAATTTCAGGTGAAGGGGACTGAAAATCGGCTTGTTTGGCCGGATAAGGTAAGGCCATGTCTTTAGAGTATAGAGTCTAGACTTTTTAGCTGCATAACAAACATGTCATTGTGTTGACCGTTTAACTTTCATCGCTTTCCGATTAGAAAACTGTAAACTGCTATTAGTGAAAGGGCGTCAAGTTTAATAATAATAAAAAAAAGAGCGTCAACTTTCAACACCTGGAGCTGGGACTGGGAGGAAGATAAAGATTGTAAAAACAGCGGGACTCGTGTACAAGCTCAGGTCCTTCCTTCTTAACTTCCTTATTCGGAGGTCTCAAGGTACCTTTTTTCTTATCATGCTTGGTTATCTGGACCAGGGATTAACATGATTGAGCATTCTAAACAAATCCGATTCTTATATCAAAATTTTGACCCGCTCCATATTTGGATAAAATCGAATTTTAGGGGTTGCTTTCAGATCGGAATACAATACTCAACCGTCAATCAAATATGAATATACCTATATCCGGTTCAGTTCCACCCATTTGCTGCCCAACCTTGATCTTTGACAGCCCAAGACTCCAAAACCAAATTCTCCACCAAAGAAAATCATTTTATGGGATAGAGCAGGGTTCATTTCTTGAGTTCGGACCAAAATGATGATGCACGATCTGAACGCTCTTTGTTGAAAGGAAGTTCGTACGTTGGTCTCCTAAGTGGCCGATCGAACTGCAAAAAAATGGTAGCAAAGGTCCCAAGATATTTCATTCGGTGTGGGCATTCTTTTCTTTTTTGATGCTTAATTCAGCGAAGAGTTTTTGTAGAGTTAGATTGTTAGTAAGTATGAGAATTCGAGAGCTAAGTTGCGTGTACCTCACAAGGATGATGGTGGTCACTTTATATAGGTGAGCTTCCGTAGTCCACATGAAACACCTCCGAGGTCGTCGACCCACCAGACTGGGAGCTTGTTTTGTACCTGAAGGCGAGCCTTGTGCAAGTGGATAAGGCTTATCTAGCCAGGTCCATTCAATTCAGGTGGGATATAGATAAGCCCTATTGACAAGTGACGTGATCCCGAAGAGATCGGAGACAAATGGATCCCTTCTAGAAGGATGCTACATGGCACCTTGGCAAGTTGGGACACAACAAGCTGCTCGGACCTCGGTCTTAGCCGAGGTACCCGAGGTGCTCGAGCTGATTTGGCCTGCTAAGGTATTAGGAAATTATGAGATGTCATCTAATCAACAAGTCGCTCCACGTGTCTGTATGCTAACAGGTCGAGCCAAATTACCCCTCATAAAAAAGGCTTAGCCCAACTCGGATTTCTATTACTATGATTGATTCTTCATCGATCTGGGATGAACACATTTCCATTACTATGCTTAATTGTATCCGGTTTGGATTTTAAAGTCTGACTGCAGTTCACTTGTTCCACTCACTTCTTGTGTGGTGGTATTTGATAAAATTAAAAAGATATTATTTGTGTCTGAAATCTAAAACTTCATTTTTGTACTTTTGAGAGACTTTGAATAGATAAGGCTATTTGTGTTGGATCAACTCTTTAACATCTGAAATGGTTTGATTTTACTAATTTATCCTTAGAATGGAACATAATATTTGGTAATTTTGAGTTCAATTTGCATCATTGCATAAAATATTTAGTAATTAATACGAATAAAAAATAAAAAAATAGAATATTTAATAACTAATATGAATAAAAATTAAAAATAATTTAATAAAATCAAAATAATATTGAAAAATACGAATAAATTCTATGAAGCAATGAAAGAGTAATAATTAGCAAAATAATATCTTAAAAAGTAATAAAATAGTTTATAATTAATAAAAAATAAAATATGTAAAAATTAAAATATTTAATAGTTACTACAAATAAAAAATATAAAGAATTTAAAATTTTAAAATGAGTTATTAAAAATTAAAATAATATTCAATATCACAAATAAATTCCATGAAGCAATTAACAATATTTAATAAGTAGCAATGGAGAGGAGATGGAGCAACTGCTTTGGCGATGCTCTGTTTTACATCAGTTGCAGCGGTAGACTATGGGGCGGAATGACGATAATGGCGGGGAGTGGAGAAGAGATAGAGAGATCAACTGAGAGAGAGAGAGAGGGAAGAATGGGATTTATGAGATGGAACCATTCTGTTCATAGTCTATTGGATTCTCCATGTTGTGATCTGCTGGTCTTTGTGACCTCTGAATCACTTTAAGGTTTCTTATTTTGAGGAAATGGGGGATGTTTTCGTGGTTGGAAAGATTAGCGTCGACATGTTGGCGCCTAGTCCGGCGTTATGCTCGTATGAGCAAAGATGATGAAGACAGAACCGACAACACGCTTCTTTGGTGTAGAGACCTTGACAGAACCGACGGCGCGCTTCTTCGATGCAGAGACCCTGACAAAATTGACGGTATGCTCGTATGAGCAAGGACGATGAGGACGGAACTGACGACACGTTTCACAGTGGTCCTGAAGCTTCCCGTTTCTAAGAGAAACAGTATAACTTGCACAGCTTGGATGAGAGATTTGAGAGGAAGAAGATGCAACCGGAGTTCTGAGTCGATGAGTCTCCCACTCTCCCCTTTTCGTTCGAGAGCAACAAGTAGAATGAGCTTCCATTGGGTTTAAATCGGGGGAATACTATGCCATTTACAAAAATGTTTTTGACGCCTGAAAATGAGGTTTTTTAGACTTAGATGTCTGAAAAGTGTTATCAAGTGCTACCTTAACATATGCCAATGATACTAGAAAAGTTACAATCAACCAACCAGTATACCAATGGTGGTGTTCATCAAAATTCATGGGGTGCTTTGATTGGTCAAAGCTTTTCTAATATCATGTACTTTTGATATCATAGATTTTCTTGGGGTTCTAACAGGCCCATTCAAATTTTGACAGAAGCCAAACCTAAGGAGCCCAAGATGCAGCTAGCCCTAATAATATTCCACACAGGTTCAAAATATGAAAACCATAAATAAATATAATACAAATTAAGAAGTGTATTAACATCTTTTGCTTTATACTTTGGCTCGAGTGACAATTTGGTCTCTGAACTTTAAAATGCGATAATCCACTATCCGAACTTTCAAAATGTGATAATTTAGTACCTGAACTTTCAAGATGTGACAATCCAGTACTTGCCATTAACCAGCCCCGTTAATTAGCCGTTAAGTGACATATGAAAAGTCAAAAATACCCTTCAAATGCCATCTAATTCTCTTTATCAACCATCCAAATGTTGACAAAAAATTGAACAGTCCCAAATCCTAGCCTCTTCTATTCAAAAAAGTTGGTGACTGTTTAGAAGAATATAGAATTTGGGACTGTTCATTTTATTGTCAATGTTTGGGTGATTGATAAAGAGAATTAGATGGCATTCTTAGGGAATTTTTGACTTTTCAAATGTCACTTAATGGCTGATTAACAGACTGGTTAACGACAGGTACTGGATTGTCACATTTTGAAAGTTTGGGTACTGAATTATCACATTTTAAAGTTCGACAACCAAATTGTCACTCAAGCCAAAGTACAAGGTACTGATCGGGAATTTTCCCTTATAATTAGGGCACCGAGCAATCTTGTACCTCTATCGAGCTTCTAAGCATGAAACAGATACGACATTCAGGGAGCAACTTCTGGACTCTCATTTATCTGCTTCTGCAACACTTCTCCCAAAAGAAAATGCAGGTTCTTTAGGTGTAGGCAATGAAATTATTTCATTTGCAAGCATTGAGACAACATCAGACATGGTGGGTCTATCTCTTGCACTCTCTTGCACACACAAGAGACCAATATGGATGCATCTCAACAATTTGCCACTGGGACATGAATCCCTTAAAATTGGGTCTATTATCTCTAAACCATTACCTTCTTTCCACATGTTCCATGCCTGAAATAAATTTAATTGAACTATCAGTAAAAAGAAAACTAAAACACATTAGCCATTATCAATTTCTGTATGCAATTTAAAAAGGTCTTTGATGAAATGGTTTTAGTAACTTACATATCCCATAAGGTTCAATGGTTGATCAATATGATGAAAGCTTGCATTCTTCCTGCCACTCACAATTTCTAGCAATAATACTCCAAAGCTAAAGACACCAGATTTCACAGAGAAAATTCCATCCATAGCATATTCTGGAGACATATAACCACTGAAAACATTTGTTTTCATCAAACAAAATGTTAGTAGATAAACAGTAAATGGACAGATGATAAAAGATTAATTGTGGATGAGTACTGATGCATCAAGTTCAAGTTCAAGGTCTAATGTACTTACTAAGTCCCAACAACTCTATTTGTATTTGCCTCATTCTGCTTCTGGCCATTCCAAAATCTGATATCTTGGGGTTCATCTCATCGTCTAATAACATGTTACTGGCTTTCAAATCTCTGTGAATTACTTTCAGTCTAGAGTATTTGTGAAGGTAAAGAAGTCCTTGAGAGATCCCTTCAATGATACTCAATCGCTTTGTCCAATCTAGTTGCTCTCTTTTAGTAGGATCTATATATCACATATAGATAGAAATTGAGGTAATTAGTTTGTATGTGTTAGTATAGCAGGAAGTAGAAAAATTAATGAAAACAAGCAAGCAAGCAGGTTAAAATTAGACAAACCAAAAAGGTAGAAATCCAACCTTTTGTTGGGCATGAATTCATAGATTAACATTTTTTCTTCTTCTTGAATGCAGCACCCAAAGAGCCTCACAAGATTTATGTGTTGGAGTTTGGCAATCAGAGTGATTTCATTCTTGAACTCCACCTTTTCACTTCTACTTCTTGTCCACTGAGTAACTTTCCCTGAATTAATGATCCACAAAGTATTTGTTCAATCTGAATTTGAAGCAATTGGAATAAAGGGTGAAGAGAAGTACAGACCTGAACCAGATACAAATTTTGCATCCAGTTCAGTTTTGCATCTATTTGTTTGTAACTAGGGCTGTCAGGTCTGGGTTGGGAGTTGGGACAGGTACACCAGTCCAAACCGATTATTAATTGGGACAAAATCATAGACCAGGGCAAAACCATCCTGATTATTAATTTGAATAATCGGGTCTGACCTGATTAGATGCAGTTATACTAGCATCCATAAATTTCTATGTTAATAACAACTTAAAACATCATTTTTGATAATATAATCTAAATAAAATGGTAAATTATTTATATGTTACTAAATCAAGTGTTTATAACCAATATTTTACACATAAAACATAGGGAAAATCTCACTGAAACCTGCATCAGAATTTTTAACTCCACTGTACACCTAAAATCATGGTTCAAAGTATCGATACACAGAGTATAGTTATATCGGTACTTTAAACAATATGCCTTTTATTTTTTAGTTTTTCTTTTTTAAATTTCAGTTTTAAGTATAACTATAGGTGTTTTCTTAAATTTCTTTTTTATAAGATAATATATATAAAAGGAATTCATGAAAACACTTATAAGCAGGTGTATCAGCACCCAAAGATACCCATATCAAGTGTATCGGTGGTGTAAACCTTGCCTACAACTCAAAACTTCCAAAACTCCTACTTCGACACCATTACCCCCCTTGTATAGGCATTAATTCCCCCTATCACTATTCCCCCTACTATTGGGTGGGGGTAATAAGCACCATAATCGACCCAATTATTGAGCAGGACAAATTACAGATCCAGAACCGATATAATTGGTTGGATCAAGTAGAACTGACCCAATGCTATTTGTAACTATACTATGATTTGCGCTTTTACATAATACAAAACTGACCCAATGGTACAAATTTTAG